CAAAGTTAAGCTGTGAGTAAATTAGCAAGCCTACTATGCAAATGAGAGAGGGACAGCATTCACACTGATAAATTTTATTTGCCTATAAATTTAAGAAATCTGAACAAGTAAGGGAGTGAATATACCTGCATTTTAGTATCGGCAGCTTTTAAAATCAGAATCTTTAGTATAGCTTTCTACTTGCTGACATTAAAAAGAAAAACCTCAAAATCAAGCATAGTAATAATTATCTCCTTGACAAAATGTAAGAGAAGAAATTGAAACTAGACACTTAGAAGTTAGGTCTGTTCTTCTGTTGTACGAGTATAAGTGCTTTTGTATGATTTTTTTATTCATTCAAGTACAGAAAAGAGACAATTTTCTAAAACAGCATAATTGCACACAACATTTGTCCAAATAAACCTGCAAGGAGATAATCAGAACTCAAGTAATGAGCATAATAAAGCTCTGTAGGCAGATCTTACAGCAAATCACACAGTCTCTGAACTGAGCCTTATTTTAGATAGATTGCATAACTCAGTTGCTTGGGAAGCCACTCTGTCTCACTGATGCAGTTGGCCTGAGAGAAGTGCAGTTAGTGCACTGTTTACCCTGTAGGAGAAGATGTGCCTCATCACACAAGAACCAGAGAAGGACCTGGAGTTTGGAGCTCAGCGAAAGCTGCTATTTAAACCCAAGATGTCTCCACCCCCTAATGTGTCCCAGCTAGGAATCAGGGACTCCAGAAAAGGATGTCGAGTGGGAGGAATGGGAAAAAGGAAGTGTATTCATGAGATAACTTCAGGTTTAAAAATAGAATTTCAAAAACCATGCTCTGTGCAATGCATAAGCTGTGACTTCTGTGTTTGCTTCAGATATGGAGCCAAAGCAATAGATGTCTGCTTTCTTGCCTGATTCCTGGGTTGCTTCTTATACAGCAATGGCATTTATTGTTTGTATCCTGAGCATCACATGAGAACATGTTAGAAATGCAAGTTCCTGGGTACCACCTGACCTGACCCATCAGCAGCCCTGAGAGTAGGGCCCAGGAATCTGTTTCTTGCCAAACTCCTAACTGGATTCTGATGTCTAGTGTGTGAGAACTTCTGCTTTAAGGACAGCAATGGCCCTGGAAGCAGGAATAGAAGGGGCCAGTCCAAAGACAATGCCTTCAGCTGTGCTTCAGACCACTTTGTCAGATGTTAACTCCAAAAGCAGATGGAGGGCATCAGAGAGGCTAATCCAGATGGTGTAGAGACCTCACCCACCATCCTCTCCTTGCCAATGTGTAGGAAACAGAATGGGAAAAACATGCTCAAGGCTGCACAGCAGTGTTAAAGGGGAACTAAAACTTGAGTTCATTGTATTTTCTGTATTGGAATATGTTTTCTCTGCAGGAAGGGAGCACTGCTGGAGATCCGGGTGTATTCAAGAGACCACTGGGGAAGAATGGATTTTAGCAAGTTATTCCATGTGGCTGAATCGCTCTTTAAAAACAGTTTTTGGGAGATAATCTTCAGATCATCTTCTAATTATAAAATTCTAGTTATGCAAGAGGCTTTGGAAAGCTAAAACGATGATAGGTTAGAACCATGAGATGGCGGGGGGAAGAAAAGGGGAAATAAAAATAATTAAGTTGTATTATGTACATGTACCAGCTCCCCATAATGAATGCAATTATGTACTGGAAACACATACGAATTAAAATTAAAAATTTTTAAATGATGAGGGGAGCAATGCTAAATATCAAATCAATTACACAGCCAGGTGGGGACAATGGAATATAAGGGACAAATTCCCCTGGTGAAGAGACACTGGCTTCCAGGTAACAATCCGGGACACAGTAAAGAGGGGCCGAGGAACGATGGTAATAATTCTGCTCAACACTTAATTACAAGGGCAGACAGGATGACTGAGCATCTACCTTCTCACTGGTGTCATTCTTCAAGTCTTACACAAATGACATAACTAATCCCTGAACCACTTTACAAGGAGATTTAAACCTTCAGCTACTACATTCCCCCTGCTTGCCCAAAATTAATGATTCATTAAATATTAGTATGACATAGATGATCATTGGATAATTTACTCTTAGTCAATATAAAATAAGTTCCTTACTCATCTTTGAAGAAATCAGAAAGCATTCTTTTTCACTTAAGCCCGAGCAATTCACTGTCATTTTCTTAACTTTTTATACTGCACTGATATCTTACTTTTGACAGGAACGGCCAAACTATCTTCCAGATAGTTACATTCCCACCAACATTGAGTTGTGTTTTTATGGTTATTCATTTTAGCCATTCTTACAGGTGTGTAATGATATCTCATTGAACTTTTAATTTGTATTTTTCTAAAGTCAGTGATGCCGAACATCTCTCAACAGGAAGAGAACCCAGTACTTCTTGTGTGCAATGCTAATAATATCAGCTATCCCATGAGCTCTTCTACTATGCGTAGTTCTCCTTCCACTAACAAGGATTCTCTGCTTCTTCCCACTGAATCTGAATCTGGAAGGACTGTTGACTATGGTGAGGCGACACTATTTAATCTCAAAGCTTAGTCATAAAAATGCTATTGCACTTAATTTTCTTCGGATTCAGCCACCAAGCCACAAAGAAACTCAACCTCCATAGAGCGGCCCCACTTCAGGCTTTCTGGCTGACACCTCCGGGTGACCTTCTAGTTACATGTGGGAGGTGAAGACTTGTTGGTGACTCAACCCCAGGCTTCATCTCACTGCAAGCTTCTCAGCCTAAGCAACCTTCAAAGGTAAATACTAAAATGACCCTTGATTTAACAGCTTACATGTTAAGAGGCTTTGTTATAACAGTAACAGATAATTGACAAATCCTCTCCACTACATACTGCTATGCTCTAATAAATAAATACTCTTAGTCTTTTCTGGAGTAAGGACATTCTCTCCCTCTCTCTCTCTCTCTCCCTCTCTCCCTCTCTCCCTCTCTCTCTCTCTCTCTCTCTCTCTCTCTCGCATGCTGGGGATCAAATTCAGGACCTTGTGCTTGCCAGGCAGGTGCAGCACCACTGAGCTAAATCCCTGGCCCTGGAGTAGGCACATTCTATATATACTCTTTATATAAAAAAGTTTCCCTTCTCTATAGAAACTGCAGAAAGCCACTGGAATCAATACGGTACACAGTTCTGACACGAACGCAGCAAACCTTGGGTAACACAGCCAAGAGACAAAGATCCACTCAACATGCTATTTCCTCTCCCTGGAACTCTCTTGTCTGATAGTCACAGGGCCCAATCCCTTCCAAGATTCTCCTGTAATGACACCACATCAGAGCCATGTTCTCTGACTGGCCCCTGTACTTGAGCTCCAGACTTGTCACACTCCATTCTTAGTACTCTGCTTAAATTAAATACAGAAACCCTAATACTTACTACCACTTGTCTGGTGATTATTTTATCTGCTTATCTATTTGTTTATTATCATATCCCCACCCCCAAAGTTTAATCAAAGCAGTGATTTGTGCTGTGTTTAACCTTAGGTTGTATATCTGTCCCTAGCACATAGCAGACATTCCAGATATTTATGGGACAAATGTGTGAACCAACCACAGGGACTAAAGTCCCTAACAATGTGCCTGTGCTTGTAAGCTCTTTGCCAAACGCACAGACAGGGAGGAGATGTTTGAGACAAAAGTTCTGCCCTGGAGAATGACAATGGAATGACAATGAGGGGAGGGAAGATTTTTAAATGACTTGACATCTTGTTTTAGTCCTCTGTCTGAGTTTGACATCAGATATGTACTCCTAGCAAGGAAGACTGCACCATCAATTTCAAAACACAGAGGAAAGAGAGCTCGGTGAGAAATTGTCTTGCTTTGTTTTTTTTTGTTGGTTTTTTTTTTTTTTTCTGAAAGTACCAGTTCTTGGAGCTGATTCTTGGATCAGTTCTGTGAAAATTATATTCTGAGGCTGTGGGACCTCGCCTAGGAGCTTTCTGAGTCAGGCCAGGGAGGGTTCCTGGCCTTTCCCAGACTTCCCTTGCTCTATAGATGATGATACAACAGTGGTCACAAATTATTCTCTTTATCTACATCTCTTTGTGAAGGACCGCCTTTTCTTCCACAAAGAGGTAAAGTCCATTCCCCATCCTTAGAATGTGGGCTTGGTCATGTGGTGTGACTTATTTTAGCAAACAAAATTCCTTGCACAAGTTGCACTGATGAGAAGGACAGAATTCTGGTACTAGAGATGTGCTTGGTAATGAATATTTGCTGCTTGTCCTTTCAGATTTGTTTCTCTTTCTCTGAGTCTTGGAAGCCAATCTGTATTGACTGCACCTATGGATTCTACTGGGTTGAGCGGGTGAGGAACATTAAGATGAGGAAGCAAGGAGCAGGGGGAGGCTGAGGTATTTATTTCCAGCTGCATCCTGCAGGTTCTCAGTGTTCTGGTTTACATGGAAGATCAGAGGTCCTGCCAGGCATCCCTGAGCACAGTGACAATCTCTGTCATCAGATTCCAACAGCAATTTGCCCCTTACCTGTTCAGGCATGGGGTGGTAAGTATGAAGTGTTGCTCTACAGAACTGCATTCCTTATTTTTCCCTGCTCCTTATGATTTTTACCACATCTGCCTATACTTCTATAAATTATCCCTTTAATGAACTCTCCTCAAATGACCCATGTGGAGGTGGTCATCTGTCTCTTGTAGGGACTCTAGGGGATACTGCAGACATACACATTTGCAGGAAGAGGTAGACATAGGCCTGGAAAGGTAGCTCCAAATATAGCAATGTGGCAGAAAATGAAAAGAAATTTCTATAGTTCCCATTACTTCCTGCCTTCACTGTAAAAGAAGCAAATTATCTGTCAAATTCAGGTCACAGGTAATTCTAACAGGATGATACAGAGGATGGGAAGGCAATTTCCTTTCTGTAAGTCTTCTGGGAAGTACAGTGGGTGACTTGTGACTAAGAAAAATTAGAACCATGAGAAAGTATTCTTAAGAGAACAATGCCCATGACAAAGAAAGGGAGGAAGTAAACTTACTCGGCCATCACTAGTGAGGAGGATGGAGTCACTCTTGATGTCCCTGTGAATCACTCCTTGGTTGTGAAGGTAGGAAAGGGCTCTCAGAACTGACAGACAGACGGTAGCTATCTGCTCTTCATTCATTCTAGAGAGAAAATGACATTTAAGGAATAAGAGGTTTAAGAACATCCTTGTAATGTTCAAGAGAGACCACTTTCTTGGGTCCTGGAAATAAGTAATCCATGCCAGTCCATATCTGGAGAGTCTACAGGCCACAAAAGGAAGTCTTTAGGATGTGATTTTCAGAGCACAAGGCTTGGTGGTGAGGATGACAGGGCCCCACCACAAGTCTGAGGAAAGAGATGCTACTTGGCAGCATTGGGGTCATTGATGCAAATGAACTCCTCAGTCGTCCTCACACCTGCAGAACTGTTATTAACACAACTGAAGAACTTCTCTCTCTCCGATGAGGTTATTCTGACACTGAACTTTGATCCTCTACTTGCCTCTTCTTTCCCCAGGAACCTGGGATGATATTAGAATGTGGAAGTGTCACTTTCACTCAAAGAATGAAACTCCCTTTCAGACATCTATGCAGGGAATGGGAAGCTCTAGTCCTTATCACTGAAACTTCATTCTTAGCAGCTTGCGATTTCAAATCAAAGAAGGGAGTATGATGTAGTTCAGTGACAAAGCCCATGCTCAGCAAGCTTAAGATCTGGCTTTAATCACCAGCATTATAAAAATATAATAAAATAATCAATAAGTAAATGGATATGAGTCATCTTCTGAGGTCAGGATAAATATTAATTGGACAAGTAGACTATACATGCGTGCTATTATAAACTCTGTCATATACAAGATGAAAAAGCTGTGTTTCCCGACTCCAAAGTGCTTACAATTTATGAAGCATTTGTAAAGATAGTCACTGAGGCCAGATCATAATCAGAATAATAAGCATCTTGGATTGTCTGTATGGATAATAAAGGAACTTACCTGGTATGAGTCACGATGTCTGTCAAGGCACCACCTTCTAGAAACTCCATGACCACCCAAAGTTCATCACCAACAAGGTAGCTGTTGTACATGTCGACCACATTATCATGGTGGTAATCCCGCATGATCACAACCTGTGTACACGAGGAAGATACTTTTTGACTTGTGATAGTGAGACTTGACTGTTGTCTTGTGGGTACACTTACACATAAGTATAATTGATTGAGAGGTATTGATTCTAAAATGATGTATTCAAGAATCTAATATAGACAAAAGGCAACAAGGGTAGCTAGAAGGAATAAAAGTAATCAATTTAGTAGGGTTGTGAAATAGCTCATCAACCAAACACTGGAAAGAGAGGGGGGATGAAAATATACAGAACACAGGAGCAAGGTTTGCAATCAAAGACATTCAGTTGACTGTTGTGGGGGATGAGACCCTGAAGATCTCCTTTTGAATGCAATGTCCACGTTCCACTGTAGATTAGCCTAACAAAGGGTCATCTACTCTTGGTAAGTAGGTATGAGCCCCGGAAGTGAATGAAGCACATTGATATTAGAAATAAGGGCACATGAAACTAATTTAAATCCTTGGGAAAAGGTAGGGGTTGAATCTAAAGGAGGTTTTGTCTGAATACAAAGAATATATTTGGAAGGTAAAGAGAAATATGATGTAGGCATAACAAAGGCTAACCTGAACCTGCTTGTTGTAGAAAGTGTCCAGATATTGCTGCCCTGTGGCTTCATCCATTTACTTTTTTCAGAGTTTGGTGTTTTGGTAAGGGAATAAATTTCAGAAGCCAGAAATAGCAGATAGGGAAGATGCTTGTGAAGCCCACTCACCTGGAGAAGTCTGTGAGATGGGGAGCATGCTTAAGAAATGAGCACCATGCGAGCTGGAGATAGTGAGGTCCATGGGGGCTGCACATAAGCCTCCAAGAATGGTTCAGAATTACAGCAGAGAGCATTCACAGAGTGTCTAAGGACCTTTAAGAGAATAAGCATGCTCACAGTGCAAAGTCAAAGGGGTCGAGCATCTGTACATCATTCGGGGAGCTCCAAGATGTAGAGACTGGTCTCTTGACATCCTATTTCGAGAGCTTTAGGGCTTCACTTTCCTATCCACAAAAACACACCTGTCTCTCCAATGCTCTTATAAAATTATTAAAGGTATATTAATAGCACAATGCCTGCGATTCATGATATAGTTACTCCTGTTTTCCAGTGGGTTTCAGAGTTCTTATCAATAAGTTGAAAAGACGCACATGAAAATGGAAACAAATGTGCAACAAATACAGGAGCGTTCCATAATATCTTAGGACCCCGGTAAGACAAATTCTGCTAACATGACTGACACCGTGCAAAGAACACAGGATTTGATGAAGAAATGAAAATGGCCTAAAACATACAGTAATAAAAGTGTTCATTAAAACAGTAAGATTTATTCACGTTTACCTCATTAATAGAGGTAGTATGATAGCATCTGATAATGTTTGTCAAGGTAAAAGAGGACTATTAGTGAGTATCTAAATGTGGACATTACATATCATATCACTTCTCTTAAAAATTCCATTTATGTAAATTTGATCTGTTCATTCCACTCCTTCAAATCTAAGGAATTTATTAGATATGAGGCCAAAACATTATTCATAACAACATTCAATGCAAAGTGATAAAGGCCACAAATGGTAAACAAAATCAGAGACTTATTTAATTATATGTGATAGATGATTATGAGGCCACTAGAATTATGCTTTTAAGGGCTGGGGATTTAGCTCAGTGGTTCCGCTGCCTGCCTCGTAAGCACAAGATCCTGAGTTTGATCCCTGGTACAAAAAAAAACATTGTTTTTAAAATATAGTTAAAAAAAGCTGAATAATTTTCATTTTGTGTTAGTTTGTTAACATTATATGTTAGGAGAAATTTAAAAATTATAAAACTATTAATGTAGGGCATTCCTTGTTTGTGGTGTTTTGTGAAATATTTTCTTGTTTTAAGGAAGAAGTTACTATTTTTATAGTTAAGAAAGAAAATTTTAAAGTTCCTCAATAGTGAGGGTCAGTATATGGGTAAGCTCATCTCTGTTGTGTTAAAAAATAAAATTGGCCACAAAGAGTATAAATGACATCACAGCAGTGTGAAAATTGTACCTATCCAGACCTGTAAACATGAATTCCATATCCATGGATTCAACCAGCCATGGATAGAAAATGTTTCTTTAAAAAAAATGCATCTGCCAGGTGTGGTGCTACGTGCCTGAAATTCTAGTACTTGGGAGGCTGATGCAGAAGGACTGCTGAGAGTTCAAGACCAGATGGAACTATATAGAGAGATCCTGTATCAAAAAACAAAACAAAATAAAACAAAATGTACCAAATAGTCACAGACCTTTTTCTCATCATCAGTTCCTAAACAATGTGGTATAACAACTCTCCACATAGGATTTACATTGTTTTAGGTATTATAAATAATCTAGAGATAATTTGAAAGTATAAAGGAGGATGTGCAAAAATTCCATTTTATATAAAAAATGTGAGAAGGGCCAGGGATTTAGCTCAGTGGCTCTGCCTCCTATCTTATAAGCCCAAGGTCCCGAGTTTGATCCCGGTACAAAAAAAAAAAAAGAAGAAGAAGAAGAAGATTTTGGAACCAGCACAGGGTCCTGAAACCAATCTTCTGCAGATACTGGGGGATGATGATAATCCACATAGACAGGCTGTGTAGCATGAGATTTGGAATCTGCTGGATGGGGATCCAAAGCCCAGCTCTGCAGTCAATTTGCTGTATGATCTTGGGCAAGTCATTCAAACCATCTGAGAGTAGGTTTACTTCTTGCTAATCACCTTTCTGCTTCATAGGATTGCTGTATCATAAGGTCACAGAGGACTAAAACTTGGCACAGTGTGACAAAGTACTAATAGAATAGTAAATATATAAAACAAGACTACAAGGAAAGACTACAGAGGGTGCCAGGTTTGTCTTTATATTTTCAGAGTCTTTCTAATGTCCTAAAATGTACATGTACTATTTCTGAAAAGGAAAACAACGATGCTGGAGAGAAAAGATGATGCCATCCCACCACATACCTCATTGAAAAGCAGTTCTCTCCTCTGTTGCTTTCGGAGGTCCATTTTCTTCACTGCCACCTGTTTCCCTGTGTGTTTCTCAGTTGCAATACACACGATGCCTGTTGATCCTTCTCCAATTTTGATGAAGTCATCCAAGTATTCCCTTGGGTCTCCTGGGCTGACCACCAGCTGTAGGGCAGCCCGAAACTGTTCATGTGACACCCTGGAGGGCTGCTGGTCTGAGGAGGAGCCCCAGCTGGGTGGAGGGTAGGTGCTGGGTGAGATGCTAAGGGAGCTCAGGTGGGAGGCAGTGGGGATGTACCGTGAACTGGTCTGCAGGGAAGGGTGGTGGTACAGACTGGCTTTGTGGTACCCAGAAGGGTACTGGTGGCTGCTTGAAGAATATCCCGCTTTGCTTTGACTTTGAGGTAGTTTGGAGGGGCCCCTGGGATAGGTGTCAGACCCAGACAGTGGAGGACTTAGGACCATCTGTGCTCGATCATAGTCCACCTGGGAAGACAGACATGGTTGGAGAATATTGACAGACTGGATTTGAATCTGAAACCTCCACCTGGTGAACGACAATCAGCAACAAGTGAGCAGAGGGCTGTGGTGGGGCACCTACACCATTGGCCACTGCTGGGAAGAGCCTTTCACCCATGTGTACCATGGGTGAGTTCTGATTCAGTGGACTTTATCCAAGGTGCATATAAGCTTTATTTTCTTACTCGGAAAATTAAGATCCCATTCTTCATTAAATAACATCAGTGTTTAGACAGCATGAGGAGGAGAAATAGCAGGAGTAGAAGGCCTTTTCCCTTGCATCTGAACTCTCATACTTGAAGGTGGTGTGGATTACCCACATACATAAAATCGTACTTGTATCTCTACATATGGCTCTCAGTGATAAGTAAGTGGCCTTTGCTTCAGTGTGAATTATAAAGTAAACAAATGTAATATTCTCATCAAATAAGGATAAATCTAATCAAGAGTAACCAAAATTTGTAAGTGTGTGTGTATGTCTGTGAAAAAGACACCCTCAAAGGGATACCAGCAAAAAACATTCCAAGCTGGTTTTGAAGCTGGGACTGAAGGAATACAGCAGAGAAATAGGGGGACAGATAGACAGGGGACACAGGATGCTGGTGACAGGAGCATTCTTATATGATTCTAGGTGTAGCTGCCACAAGTCATGTCCTGCAAAGGATCAAGCATGAGCTTTGGAAACCCTTGGAATGACAGAGGTCAGGGACAATCCGTACTGTCACATCACACCATGTTCACTTCCTTGTTCAGTCCAGAAAGCTCTATTGAGTGCTCTCTCTGTTGTATGATTTAGCAGAACAATGCTGGCTGCAAAGATGGTACCCCAAAAAAGGCTGATTAGGCCTCAGGCTCCTTTGTAACACAGGGCTTTAAGAATCCTCTTTCTGCTGGGAACTATGGAATTTCCACTGAAATGACATCAACTTGGTACTCTATTCTTTCCATCTACCCTGAGGATCTGGCTCTGGTATAAATTACTGGTCACATATAGTCATATAAAGTCAATAAAAATAAAATTAAAGTTAAAAATTCAATTCCTCCATCATCGTAGTCAGATTTTAAGCAGCCAGCAGCCATTTGTTTGCCCCAAACAGCACTCATACAGAATATTCCCACCACTTCAGAACGGTTCTCTGGACAGCACTGTTCTGGATGAAGTGACTGTTCTCAATGATGAATTAATTCACTGACTCCCACAAGTTACTACTTGAACAACTACTATGTGCTGGTCACCTTTTCAGGTGCTGGGGAAGGGGCCACCAAAAATCAAAATAGATGGTACCTCTGCCCTCCTGTAGTCCATATTCTAGAAGAGGAGACAGATGACAGACAAGAAAACCAACAAATACACGGTATCTGCTCCAGTCCTAAGTGAAGCAAAGAAACATGAAGTAGGGTGAGGGAGCTGAGTGCAATGGGAACCGTCTGGGATAGACTGATCTCCACGTGCCTGAGGGGCACCAGGAGGGCAGAAACCTGCTGCCCTGAGGGAATAAGCTGAACAACAAGGCAGAGGGATAGCAAGGAGGACCTCCTAGAAGAGAAGGGGTGGGGAGGCTCAGATATTGGACAGAGTACAGCCAGGGGCCACATCATGGACACCTTAGCATGCACTCTGGCTTCCCCTCTAAGTGAGGTGGGAGCCACTGGAGGGTGCCAGGCAGAGAAGAGTATGGCAGGTCAGCATAATTCTGGCTTCTGGAGAAGAGACTTTGGAAGCAGGAGACGAAATAAGTGGAAACAGCAGTGTGCTTACTTCAGTCAATGCAGACAGTGCTTATGTTGGTTTTCTGTAGATGGGGTGAGAAAGGAGGGGATCCAGGCTAAGGCCAGAAGATAGGGGACAGGATTTACTGATGGGTTGGATCACAATTTGAGAGAAGGGAATCAAAGATGATGCCAGGATAGCAATGGGGCCTTTAATGAGATGAGGGATCTACAGGGAGGAACGGGCCTGTGGGATGTGTAATCAGCATTGGCCTATACGGTGGCTCCCAATGTTCCCTGTCTCTCAATATTCATACTCTTGTGTGGTTTCCTCCCACAGTGATCAGGGTTGATATGAGTGATAAAAAATACAGCAGAAGTAACAGTCTCTTTTTTTGCTAAGTAAAAACAGGAGTGCAGTATCTTTGCTCTGGCTCTCTCTAGTCTCTATGTCATGAGGGTCCTCAAGAATCTTACAGAGAGATCCATGAGGCAAGGAACTGAGGCCTCCTGCCAGGAGCTAGCCAGAAACTGAAGCCTTCAGCCAACAAGAGTGTGAGCCATCCTGGAAATGGATCCTCCAGCCCAAGACCAGCCTTCAAATGACTGCATCCCTGGCCAACACCTTGAATGAACCTTGAGCAACACCAATGCAGTTCAGCCCTCCCATGTTTCTGACCCATATACCTAAATGATTTAGACACTTCCAAGGTTAGGGAAGAGTTAAGTCTGAAGATGAATCTGAGAGTCATCTGTGTTTAACTGACATTAAAATCATGATGTTGAATGTATACAGAAAGTCCTAAGTCTCTTCCAGAGAACAAAAAGAGCAGGAAGATCTTGCAAAAGGAACAGAGGAGTGGCCAGTGTTGTAGGTAGGAAATTAAGGTAGAAGGTATTCTTGAGACAAGAGTGGAAGAATTCCAAGAAAAGAAGGAGTAATGAATCATGCCAAAGGCCACAGAGAAGTGGTCAATGGATCTGGCATCATGGTGAGACAAGCAGCGGCTCAAGCTCCTACCCCACTACGCTGCCCAAGAGGAGGTTGGTTCTACAAAGTCACTGCATACTAAATTCAGTGCCCTGGCACTAAACTCAGCCATTCTGCACCATTCGTTGGCTCTGAGGTGCCAGTCCTTCCCTGCTGCCCACACAACATGCAGACCTTTCCATCTTAAGAACACCGCACTCTATCCAGGTGAGCTCAGACCATTCCAAAATCCACCAATAAGAACAGGGCATCCACTAAGCCAGTGCCTTTTTGTTGGATAGGAAACATACATGGGAATGAGTTCTGACTCGGCTTTAGTCAAATTATTTAGTTTTTCTGAGCCTCAGTTTCCTCATCGGTAAAATAGAATAACTCCTACTTCCTTTGGTCACCAGGAATTCTAATTGAATTCTTCCCACATAGTTGAATATGTATTACAAAAGTTCAAATGCTGATTGGCAGATACATTTTAGGTAGTGTTACTGTTACAGAAAATGCTTAGCCCAGTGGTGGGGATGTAAAAGAAAATAAATAATAACTACATACTAATAAAACCAGAGAGCATTTATTTAAAATGTTCAATGTACCAGTGACATATATATTCCTGCACATTAATCTTCAGAACAATCAGATGGGTACCTTTAATTGTACTGCATTGGACAATGTATTAAAATTAAAATAGGATATTAGAAAAACAGGTTGAGTTTTTCTAAGCCCCTGTCCTTGTGCTATTCAAGGATGACTTGTCTGGGAGTAGGGAGCTGTAAATTTCACTGGAAGTTGGACAGTTGGATTCTGCCTTTGAATTATTCTGCAGATCAGCCAATTTTAGGTGGACTAGCAAGGCCAGGGAGTGAGGAGAAAGGAGGTCTTTGATTTTTATTTCTCAAAGTGACCTGGGAGCCGTTCGTTTCCTTCATTCACCTGTGTCTATCTTAGAGCATTTTCTCTTGCACTTTAAACAACACTGAATTCATTCCTCCCAAGCATATATGTTACCTCTGTAGATATATTACACATTGGAAAGCGGTGTTGTGTCAGCATCACAAACATAGCTGCACACTGCATTAGGCCCTTTGCTCCCTTGTCACTGTCAGCGGCCTTACTAGGGTCTGCTCTTAACAACCAGCTTGTGCCATAAAGAAGAGGACATTGACCTGCAAGAAGGGGACAATTTCAGATGTTACAGATGGCAGGTCGAGCTCTTTGGGAAAGCTAAATGTTGAAATTAGGTCTTTTAGGCAAAAAATGCAATTGTCTTTCACAGCTGCTGCTAAGAGTGCAGACTCTTAAAAAAGCAATGAGGAACAATTGTTACTATGACAGACCATTTATAGAACTGAAATGGAATTACCGAAAGGAGAATTAATTCTTCTTCTCAGGTAAGGGAACACATGGTCTCTTCTTTGGGGCTTCCATCCATTCAAGAAGATGTCCACAGACAAAGAGCTGGCTTTGAGAAGGAGAAATGCATGCCTCACCCTGTGTGGGGCACTGTCATAGAAACTCAGCTTTTACTTGGGTCATAACTAGCTGCAGCTCCATGATGGTCCCTATTACTGGCCCACACATTTGTGACAGGTCTCATTTTTTTTCGCTCTGGGAATCAAGTGAGGAGAATTGTATCCCATTTTCTTGCTGGTAAAACCAAGGCTCAGGGAAATAAAACTTACCTCAAACAATCTAGGTTAAATGGTCCCATATTCCTAGAAGGATTATACAACCTAGTTCGGCACAGGTCTGCCCCTGACTCCCAGTGAGAAGGCTTCTAGATGTTACCACTGCTCAGGACAATAGCACTACACATCTGTTGTCTTGCCTGCCTTGGCATTTCTACCATTAGTTGCCACAATATGGTCTTTATGATCAAGGCTGAGGCTCTTTCTCCTCTCTAAAATGCACAAGTATTTTCCTGGGAGCCAAAGTAGGGTTCTTTCCTTTAAGTGCCTACTTTCTTGGAAGGAATAAGAAATACTAATGTTAACAATAATATTTATTAATATTTATCATTTATTGAGTGCTCTCCACATGCCAGCGGTGAGTGTCCTATGCACTCTATGCACATTTTTTTTCCATTTAAACTTCAAGTTAGATCATAAGCCTCATAATTGTTCCATCTTACAAATAAGGAGACTGAGGAATAGCGGATGAAATAGGCCATACAAAGGCCCCAAAGCACTTGGAAGGAAGAAAGAGGATTAAAAGCTAGAGTTGTTTTAGCAGTTGAACCCTACCTGAGTCCACAGAGACAGGCTGCTGTGGTAAG